TCGCGGTAAGTACTTGGGAAACCTACCGTAGCTACAGTGGGGCATCTCGGGGCTAGGCCCCTCCGATTTCCTGGCAAGCCCCCCCCCCAACTTCTTATCCAGCCAAGAGCCCCTGAGCAGTGGCAGGTGCGGGGAAGGAGCCGGGTATTCCTGCACAGCCGTCTGGCGTGAAGGGCCAGCTACGGTGGCCACGTGGAGCCAGGCAGCACCTCTCCATTTCCCCCAGAAACTGAATTAAATCACCTTTCATTTGATGAGCCAGTGCCCCCTAAGAAATTTAAATGCCCCCTGACTTTAAAAAATCCTGGCTACGGGCCTGCTCTAGATGCCCTCAAGTGCGTGTTTTACCGTGCCAATGGGCAAAATCCACAACTGCCCGACACGGTGCCTTCTCTATGGAATGGCTGGCCTAATAAGGTCAGGAAGGTGCCTACCCTATGTTTGCAAACTATGCAAATTTGAATGATTCAAGAGGGCTTTTTGCGCAGGAAATGGGGTTGTGCTGTAATAGAATGGTTCAGAACGCAGCTCGGGGTAAAGAATTAGGGACTGTCAGGTCTTTTTTTGTAGAAAATGTCCAGCAGGAACTCACTAGCATAATAGGCCGCACCCCAAAGCAGAAACTCATTAGCATATTAGGCCACACCCCTGACTGCACCACTCATTAGCATATTAAGCCGCATTCCCATGTTACCAGAAGTGTGGTCATCCAGCCACGCCCACCTTTTGCTTCTTATTCTGTTGACCTTGTTTGTGGTCAAAACCCTGGGCTTTTTTTTTAGCAGGAACTCCTTTGCATGTTAGGCCATACACCCCTAAGGTAGCCAATTCTAATGAGTTTCTGCTGTTGGGTGTGGCCTGTTATGCTAATGAGTTCCTGCTGGCTGTGGCCAACTTGGGAGCCAGCCGGAACTCCGTTCCTGTGCGTTCCTGCCCAAAAATAGCCCTGGGGACTGTAGACACCACCATGGTGTATTATTGTTACTGTAAGTAGGTTCCTACTATGTAATTTTTGCATCTTTTAATGCAGGGGTCTTCAATGCGGTGCCCATAGGCAACTGGGCACCTGCCAACACCATTCCTAGCACCCACCAAGTACTTGGAGAAAGTGGATGGGACCAGGGTGGGACTTTTGCTCAGCATGGCTTCTGATTGGCCACTGGAGGTTTGATTGGCGTGCAAGCCTTTTTTGGGGAGCAGCTGCCACCTCAGTGCAAACCTCTGTACCGCGTGACCGAAGCCAAGCTGTGGCAGCAGTTTTGTGGTTGGCTCCACCTTCTGCGGCAGCCATTGTACAGCAGCCGGTTTGTGGCTGCGCCCACCACACCATGTCAGAATTCCAAAGATGCCCACAGGCTGAAGATGCCCTCTGGTTTAATGTGCTGTGTTATGCCGAGTGCCAGTTCGGTGTAGTGGTTATAAGTGGCGGACTCTAATCTGGAGAACCGGGTTTGATTCCCCACTCCTCCACATGCAGCCAGCTGGGTGACCTTGGGTCAGTCACAAGTTCTCTCAGAGCTGTTCTCTCGAGAGCAGTCCTCAAAAGAGCTCTCTCAGCCCGAGTTCTCTCAGCCCCACCCACCTCACAGGGTGTCTGTTGTGGGGAGGGGAAGGGAAAGGACTTTGGAAGCCGCTCTGAGACACACGAGGCCTGCTGGGAGACCTTGGGCCCGCCACAGTTCTCTCAGAACTCTCTCAGCCCCACCTGCCTCACAAATTGTCTGTTGTGGGGAGGGGGAGGGAAGGCGATTGTAAGCTGCTTTGAGACTCCTTCGGTTAGAGAAAAGTGGGGTATAAAAGCCAGCTCTTCTTCTTCTAGCTGGATTGAAAGCACCAGGGTCAGGCTGGTGTAGATCAGGGGCAGGGAGAGAAATAGACGACCTCTTATCTTCCCTCGTGGCTTCTGAATCCGGGTATCTGAGGCCCGTGTCCAGTATTCTTGTCCCCTGGACTTACACCCCCACGGTCTTGATGTGGCCCATTCCCCGGTCAGATTTGTCTAAGGGCGCTCATTCCTCCTACCCCCTTCTCTCCGACGACTGACGCAATCAGGGCTATTTTTGGGCAGGAACGCACAGGAACGGAGTTCCGGCTGGCTCCCAAGTTGGCCACGCCCAGCAGGAACTCATTAGCATAATAGGCCACACCCAACAGCAGGAACTCATTAGGATTGGCTACATTAGGGGTGTGTGGCCTAACATGCAAAGGAGTTCCTTTTACAAAAAAGCCCTGGGTTTTGACCACAAACAAGGTACACAGAATTAGAAGCAAAAGGTGGGTGTGGCTGGATGACCACACTTCTGGTAACATGGGGGTGCGGCCTAATGTGCTAATGAGCTGTGCTGTCATGGGTGTGGCCTAATATGCTAATGGGTTTCTGCTGTTGGGTGTGGCCTATTATGCTAATGAGTTCCTGCTGGGCTTTTTCTACAAAAAGAGCCCTGGACGAAAGTATAAACTTTTGAAATTTCCCCGCTCTTCTCTCTCTGACTCCAGGTGCCGGAGGATGGTGGTGGTCATTTCAGATGATTACCTGGACAGCGAAGAATGTGACTTCCAGACCAAGTTCGCCCTCAGCCTCTCCCCCGGTACGTTCGTAAGAATACCACTGTGGCTTGTGCCGTGGAGGGGTTTTCTGTGGACCACGGTTTAATCCCGGGAGATGTAGGGAGGTTGTTGTGCACAGAGCTTGTCCAGCCCAATTACATGACTGGTGCTCCTTATTGGTGGTTGGTGTCGCGGTTAAGTGCGTGGACTCTAATCTGGGAGAACCGGGTTTGATTCCCCACTCCTCCACTTGCACCTGCTGATGTGACCTTGGGTCAGTCACAAGCTCTGGCACAGCTGTCCTTGAAAAAGAGCAGTTTGTGTCAGAGTTCTCTTAGCCCCACCTACCTCACAGGGTGTCTGTTGTGGGGAGGGGAAGGGAAAGGAGTTTGTAAGCCGCTCTGAGACTCCGAGTGAAGGGCGGGGTATAAATCCAATCTCCTCCTCCTCCTCCTCCTCCTCTTTTCCTTGCTGACACAATTCCTAGCATAGAATGTTAGAATCATAGAACGTTAGCATTGGAAGGGACCTTGCAGGTCATCTAGTCCAACCCCCTGCCCTCTGCAGGAACATACCCGAAAGATGGTCGTCCAGCCTCCGCTTGGAAACGTCCAGGGAAGGAGCATCCACCACCTCCTGAGGTGTTAGTATTATCCATTATTCATGAATGGCGCATGCTGCAGCTCAGTAGAACAGCCCCACCTTGGCGCATATAATGTTCCCAAATTCAATGTCTGCCATTTCCATTTAAAAGGATTTCAGGTTGCCAGGCTGGGAAAGGATCCTGTGCTGTGATCTTGAACCAACCACCGGAGAGGACTCCGGATAAGTAGATTTCCTTTAAGAAGGTTATTTACATCACTAAATAAAATTCGGAACAGACAACTAAACTTGTTTTTTCACTCATAAATAATCCATTCAGAGTAACATAATAGTGAGATCCAATTTGCTTCCTGGCCTTTAGTGTCTTTCTTAATAATCAAAGCAGTAAGCCCAACTAACTTCACTATCTCCTGAACTTTCCTTAACCGATTTAGTTTATTTGGAAGATACTTATGGGCTTTTCCACATTTTTCTTTTTTCTTGCTTATAAGTTCCTGTTTCTTCAGGGGGGGTTCCGTTCTGCATATCTTTTGCTTCCTGGAGTGGTCGATGCAATATTAGATTGTTTTACGTCTGACATCAAAACCTGTGGTTTAAATCTGCAGGGAGAGACACGGCATATAAACTGGTGTAAACTCTAATCGACCACTAGGGGGAGCCAAACGCATGCAGAACCAACCAACCCCCCTACCCTAAAGAAGCGGGAACTTACAAGCAGTGTTCCCTCTAAGCTGAGTTAGTGTGAGCTAGCTCAGTTTTTTAGCCTCCAGCTCACACATTTTTTTCAGCTCAGGAAGGATGGCTCCAGAGCAAACTAATTTATGCAGCAGTCAAATCGCTCGCTCACAACTTTAATGCCAGTAGCTCACAAAGTAGAACTTTTGCTCACAAGACTCCACAGCTTTGAGGGAACATTGCTTACAAGTGAGGGAAAAAGCTCTTTATCTTCCAAAAATTTAGCCAGGACCAGCCTTGCAGCTGTTAACAAGTAGATCAGCTTTATCGGTAGAACAAAACTAGCATGCGCCTGAGAAATTTGAATAAACCTTTGGTAATCTCCAAGGTGATAGATGCCATTGATTAACCAGTAGACTCCGATGTTTGCCTCTGAAAAGCTTCCTCCATTTCTTTTCTGCACTTCAGACAGCGATAGTGAGGTCTCTGGAGCAGGGACTGCATTGCCTCTATTTTTCTTTTTTCCGGCGCATATTGCTAATGGTAAGATGGTGTCCACTGGACATTCCCTTCTGTGACTTCACTAGACCCTGCGTCCACATTTTTGAGCATTTCATTTCCTGCGATAAGATGAAAACGGAGGTTGTCTTTGCGTAAATCCTACAGCATTTAGCAGGTTCAGGACTTGTGCAAAATACCTGCAGCTGCCCTAAGTTTCATGGCTGGGGGGGTGAGGTACAAATATAATAAATAAATAAATTGATTGTCCTGACCTGGATAGCCCAGGCAAGCTCGACCTCGTCAGATCTTGGAAGCTAAGCAGGGTTGACTCTGGCAAGTCCTTGGATGGGAGACCTCCTTGGAATACCAGCAGTCGGGAGGCGGGGGCAGGCTTTATTCAGCCACCTCTCTGGATATCCTCCAGGCCCCCAGTAGGGGTTGGTCACCAGAGGTTGCCATGACTGTGAGGTGCGCGCGCACGCACACACACACACACAAACATATAAAAATACTAATTGATTGAGAATTTTCTAGAAACTGCAGCTGGTATATAATAATTTGGCTCAAAAATGATGGTCACAGTCACAGAACAGACCGCAAAAAGAAGAAACTGTGAGGGTACCTGACAAGGATCTTATAATAGCACACAATGCACTTTATAGAATGATAGTTATAAACAGAACACGTTAATTTACAAAAGTTTCTTGCAGTGTATATTTATTCGTTACTTGACCACCTGGAGGTTGGCGATCCTACCAGATGCATATGCGGAGCTGAAATTGGAATGGGTGGCCAGAAGGATCAACGGATGGCAGCTACCAATGGATTTATAGCAGCTGTTAATGGATTGCTACTGACTACTTCAAACAACTGATCACTATGACAAATCTCGTTTTAAGAACCTTTACCTTTACTGTGGTGGCTCAGGTGGTTAAGACGCTGAACTGCAGGCTGTGGAAGGTCGGTAGTTCAGCAGTTCGAGACCCGAGTGTGCCGCATGACAGAGTGAGCTCCCGTCTCTAGTTCCAGCTCCTGCCAACCTAGCAGTTCGAAAGCAAGAAATTGCAAGTAGATAAATAGGTACCACTTCAGTGGGAAGGTAACAGCATTCCGTGCGTCTCGGTGTTTAGTCATGCCGGCCACAGGACCACGGAAATGTCTTCAGACAGCGCTGGCTCTTCGGCTTTGAAACGGAGATGAGCACCGCAACCCTAGAGTCGGATTCGACTGGCTTTCGAGCAATGGAACCTTTACCTTTTACCTTTACTTTACTATTTAAATTGAAGCTCAGCCTCCCAACCCAAACAGGGGACATTGGCATCAGTTTTTTCAAAAAGTGCCCAAAATAAGACGGACTCCAAAAAAAAAGAGGACACAACCTCTAAAAAGAGGACATCTGGTAACCCCAGGAAGGAGGGCTGTGGGTGACGGGTTATTATGGGTGTGAAAGTTGGACAGTGAAGAAAGCTGACTGGAAACAAGTGGATTCCTTTGAAATCTGGTGTTGGAGGAGAGGTTTATGGGTACCGCGGACCACCAGAAAGGCAGATCAGTGGGTTCTAGATCCAGTCTAGCCTGATCTCTCCCTAGAAGCTAAAATGGCTAAAATGAGGCTGTTGTACCTTGGCCACATTATGAGAAGACAAGAGTCACTGGAAAGGACAATAATGCTAGGAAAAGTTGAAGGCAGCAGGAAAAGAGGAAGACCCAACATGCGATGGATGGACCCAGCCAAGGAAGCCACAAAGGCCCTCCGTCTACAAGGCCCGAACAAGGCTGTTCACGATAGGACAGTTGGAAAGTCATTCATTCATTGGGCCACCATAAGTCAGAAGTGACAGCAATTAACACACATACACGTAGGTCACAAGCTGTGGTCTAGGACCATTTTCCAGAAATGTGCTTATTTATGTAGTATGAGGGGCTTTTGGTGAAGGCAGATGGTTCCCCCTCCCCTTATTTGAAGATGCTAAAACCATTGTTTCTCAGCACGAATTCTGGCATTTGTTATTCATTCAGAAAATCTGAATTGAAATGAATTTATGTAGCTTGATTTAAAGCACTGAAATTACAAAAGCCTGAACCCTAGATATTCTTGTAGGACGAAATGCAAGTTGTTCAGTTGTTTGTTTGTTTTAAACTGGGAGTTTGTGGCCGGATGTAAGGGCAGGGTTGCAAATCAGAAAAAGAGACTTGACCCCAAGTAAGAGCTCACTTGCCCTCCAAATCAAGACCTGTCTCTGTTTACCTCCTCCCCCTCCTGCTTTGTGTTGCTGCAAGGGTTTTCAGAATGATAGCTGTGTTGTATTATTTTGTAGCAAAAACAACAGATTCTTGTGGTACTTAACAACTAACAAATTTGTCGTGCCATAAGCCTCATTGCCACAAGGGACTGAAACTGCATTTCTACCTTGCCATTCCTCCCAGAGCCCTGACCTGGATAGCCCAGGCTAGCCCAATCGCATCAGATCTTGGAAGCAAAGCAGGGTCAGCCCTGGTAAGTATTTGAATGGGAGACCTCCAAGGAAGTTCAGGGTTGCTATGCAGAGGCAGGCAATGGCAAACCATCTCTGAACGTCTCTTGCCTTGAAAACCCTATAGGGCCACCAGGAGGTGGTTACAACTTGAGACAGAGGGGAAAAATCCTCCCAGATGTTTAGGATGTTATATTTATTCACCTGATCATGAGGCAAGGAG